AATTAAACACACAAGAATAGAAGTGCTTACAACTTCTTGGAATTAAGTATTCCTTAAAAAGATATGCTAACAACTAATCGTTTTCTATGTATATGCAGTATACATGTACATATAAACTATACGTGAGAAATTAGAATCACTCCCTTGCCTTCTTTATTGAACCCATTATTAAAAAAAATATCGAGACAGTTCTCGTGATCAGTGTCATGCATGTGGAAATACTATCCTCTCAATTTTCTAGAAATGACACAATGCTTAAAATGCTCCTTCGCATTTTATTTCAATCAGACTGAAAGGATGATGATTCCTAAAAGAAAAGAAAACTATTTTACAAGGATAATTAAATATATAATAAAGTTGATTATGACCAGTTCTACCCATACGTGTCAAATGTTAATTAATAAAAAAAAAAAAGGAGTCGTTCAAGATACACTGGAAAAAAATCAAACTGGACAAAAAATTGTATGAGCAAAGTAATAAGAAAAACAAGTACCTATAGACATTGGTAAACGTTTCATTGCTGGGGCGAAAATTAAAGGGGCCTGGACACAGTTGCATTGTTTACAATTTTAAATGTTTATTTTTATTAAAAAAATAATTTCAGTTTAATGATTTGGACTTACTTGAATATTCTTAGAATTCAATGACAACATTCTTCAAAACATCACGTCAAACATCTGTGTTTGTAAACAGAGCATGAGCTCTATTATTATAAGTGTTTACGTTTTACCGGGTGTGTTTTATTTGTTTGGTCTGCACATCACTGAGTACGGACTGACAACACTGGTGGGTTGATTTTGCTTTCTTGTATTTCTACTCTGAACTTTCTGGATAATATTTTTCATTAATGCACAACAAAATTTCGACTTTTCTTAAGTAATATGAAAAAGCGAGGATATATGTCAATCAAACGTTAACGCGTCCCGAAAATTGTAGTTATCATAATTTTCCTGATAAAAAAATTTTCTTAACTCGTTTTTAATATACTTCGGTTTGAAAGGGATGCTCTAGCAACATATAAGGCATGATATTATTTAGAAAATTTGAGCTTCAAATCTGTGTTCCCAGCCCCTTTAAATCCTTTTTTAATGTGATAATGAGCTTGTATTCAAATCCTAAGGTATTTCCGTCTTGTACAATGTATAGGCCCTACCTCGGATTTATCGCCTTGGATTTACCAGAACGATCATTATTAATACTTAATTGACCATGCCTTAGAAATAAAACTAGAACTGTTCTAAAAGGACTAATGCCCAGGTGGGGTAACTAAGAAAAGGAGCCACGTGCTGTAAAACTCGGCAATCTTGCTAATAAAGTTTTCTGCAAATTCCCTTGGTCTGAATCTTGAGGAAATAAATTAATTGACTAAAGGTTGTAACACCTCTAGATCTTGTTAAGAGGCACATTTGCGCTCAATGTGAAAAATATCATACATGCTCCATGGATCAAAATGTCGTGACCCAAAGAATGCTTTTCTTAGTTGGGCAATCTTATACGAAAGACGATGACATAGAATCAATCATGACATACTTGTTGGTCACATCACCTGTATGTGTCGTATATGAGCTGTCTTCTGAGTTCTTCAAAATTTGACACCTCTAAAAATTCCTTGAACTTTACCTTTGACCTTTTTGAAAATACTGAATTTTAATTTGAGCTCATATCTTTGTAATTCAACTGGTTAATGTACTTGAACATTCAGTACATTTCAGATTGTAAGATGCGAGGTAGATTTCCCCACAGCTTCTTTGGTTATTGTTTCGTCGATGAAATGTCTATTCTTTTCATATCTTTTGTTTAAGTTAATCCACATCTTACTAGAAAACTGACTCCGTCAGATAGGGCCCCGATAAGGGCTGTCAAAGGAAAGTGACAACTGTACTTAGTACAGTAATGTTTTGTACAAAAATAAGGATATCCGCTCCTCAGCCAGGAACGATAACTCTTAAAATTATTATTTAATTTTAAAAGTCGGAAACTGAAGCTTGATATTTAAATCTTTTCGAGCAACAATTTCATTTCATGCATCTCAACATTATTCAAGGCTTTTTTAAGCCTAGGAAATGGTAAAAGGCCGACATTTTTACCACATAAAAGTACGAAATAAACACAGTTTAGAAATCGAATTTCCTTTAAATTAGCCTTAGATATCAATGCTTATTAGCATGATATGAAATTAGAAGTGATCTGTGATGTCTTGCAATGATTACACACGCTTTTAACACAATGTATTATTAAACAATTGAAGAAAATAGAAGAATTAAAATACCATATATGCATAAAAAATATTCAATTTTCTCTGAATGCCTGGGTACCCATTAATTTTTTATCATATAATATACACATGTACTTGTTGATCAATTTTTAATTAGAAAATGCATAATTAGTGTTTTATTCGCATTTCCTAATTTGATACTTTCCCTAATATAATATGATTAATTATTATGATGAACTTTGTAGAAATACCATGGGTAAATACGCATTACTTTGTCAACTCGGAGATATTTTTGTGAGCATTCCAATTACTTTACTGCTGATTTTAAGAAACTTAGCCTTCTTCACAAAAATTCTTACGACTAAGATTAAAATTTAACAACTCTTAATTTCTTTTTTTTTTAATAAGGAAAATTATTATATTTGAAGAATAATTCACAGTATACTGTAATGTAATAGAAATAAAAGATACAATTTAGGTACATGTAGAAGAATTGGAAAATTTTAATTTTAGTCGTAAGATTTTTTTTGTGAAAAGGGCTACTGACGAACGGACTACCTTAAGCACATAAGGCAGGTATCATGGAATCACTAATAAATATGTTAAAATTGTTCGATTTATCACGCCAAATTTAATATAAAAGTGTTGACAGACATATGGGTGGAAAAAGGACTTAAAAAATTAACAGATGCCTTCCTCTTACATGTATGGTTGAAAATTTGAAATAGTTAAAAAAAAGAAAAGAACTGTTTTAGTTATTCTGTCTGGAATATATATATTCAGGCAAACAGATCAAATGATATGAGCCCAAGTTTGTTGGTGTTACTCTGACAGTAAAGAGCAATATATTTCTTTACAAGATCTGAAAGCGTTCGTTAAAAATAGAATTACCGCGTCAGAATGAGTTTTGACAAACAGACAGACAAATTGAATGTGATTCCTATTGGGTTCTCGCATTTAACGCGGGCATCTCATAGTTAATGCAAAATAGTTGATTATGAATTTCTTTACTTCACTTGGACTAAAAGTTCCTATGTACGTGTAGGAACCAATACTTAAAAAAGTCTAACATTTCCAATGTTTTACTGAGCGGTCATAAAAAAATCGATTTTTAATTGAACCTGTCGATTAGATACTGGACCGCTCATGTCAGACTGTGGGCGGGATCAGCTAAATCTCTTTTGCATTCTTTGGTGTTCGACAGTGACAGAATTGACCGACTTTTAGTGCAGGTAAAGGAAATTTACATCATGGAAGCCAGCACAAGATATACGCATGTACTCTCGAAAAACGCCTAACGGTCTCAGGTCAAGTTTGGTTCTTAGGTCCGACAAAATGTATACTGCCCTCGAACCCGTCAATATAATAGATGTAAATGTTAACTTTTCTTGTGACATCTTTTTTCTGTGTTTGTGAAGAAACCCAAGCATGCACGTTTGAGTTTTCTGTCCTCATTTTCAAATGCATCTCCTGTTAAATCCTTACTACTGTAGATATTAAGAAATAGGTAGATAGGTGAATCTTGAATTTGACAAAAAAAAGTTAAACTTCAATTTTGGACTAAGATGGGCGACTGTTGCAAAATATACATGTCTGCTTTTTGGGATTCAGTAACATTTTAACGAAGATTTTTTTACCTAGTTGTTGCAAAGTCTAATAGTAAACCATATCATAAAATGCCCGTTTCTTTGCATTTTGTTCTGGAATACATATCAAACAATCATAAATGAAAACCTAATAATTTTTTTCAATTGCTCAAAACAATAAAGGACAACAAAAAAAATACTGATATCTTGATTTGATACATACATGTACATGTTGTACTAAGTAAAGTTTTAACAAGTTATTAATACAATTGCTTCAGGTCCATGTTTCTCGCAGATTAACTGAATACAAACACGTGTGGACTTTCTTGTTGTATGGATACATATAGTTACGTATAAAAAAAGTCCCCAGGGAGCATGAATCCCTCTACACAATATCAAAGATTACAAAGCATATATTACATGTACGTATAATTCCTACGTCCTGAAATCACAATTACCAGGTACAAAAGACTGTTTATTGACATGATCTGATTTCTACTGGAATCATTAATCACATATTTATTAAAGAAATAAAGAGACGCAAAAATAGAAGTGCTAACAGCTTTTAGAAATTAAGTACATACACTTAAAACAGAAATGCTATAATATCGTTTTTATGTATATACATGTAAGTAATACAATGTACGTGAGAAATTAGAATCATTCTGTTACTTTATTATATTTCAATATAATATCGAGACAATTATACATCATGATCAATGTCATGTATGTAAAAAAAAAACTATTCTCAATTGTCTTTAATTATACATAATACAATGCTAAAAATGCTACTTCGGAATTTATTCCAATCAGATCAGGCTGGAATAAAAAATCTTTTACAAGGATGTATATAACTAATAGTCTGATTATGATCAACTGTTTCAAATGAATACATGTTTTCTAACGAAAATGGCAAGAGAAACCGCGTCATTTAAGTTAAACTGAAAAAGTTCAACGTGGGCAAATCTCTGTATGAACTACAAGATGAAAAACGGGTTCATATGAATTTCACATATTTAAGGATTTCATTGCTGAGGCGATACATATTGAAATACATGATACACAGATTTTAATCCAGAGAATTCTTTTGTTTGTTGCATCTGAAAATATCAGATGCTTAATTAAAAAAAATCGTAGCCTAATTATAATAGAATAAATACTGTACCTGCTTAAAACATGTTCTTGTACACATGTAAAAATGATCATAAACTACCTTCAATTGGTTTCTCAAGACCTTTTTTCTAATAATCTATTTTCACACCTAAATTAGCACTTCAACATCAAAACTGCCATTTCAAGCCGCTCTAATTTTCTACAATCTCGGGGCAAGAAATCAGTTTTTTGTCCTGTAGGGATTGTGGGATACTCAGCGCAGGCGCAGACATGCGTCGTCCGCGTAGGCGTATTGCTCTGTCAATAACTGGCGGGACATCGTAAGTGATGGAGGCTCGCGACCCACGGCGACGATGCACATAAATAACAGTCGTTTCTGATTGGGATTCATCTGAATCCACGCTGTTCAGAGACAAGGTGCTGCTACTTGTATTGGTACCAGTCCCACTGCCATTGTTGTTATTGTTTCCGTTCGGAATACCAACTGACACCTCATTCTTATGATTTTCTGCATATGCGCGAAAAGCTTCATCCAAGATTTCTTCGGAAACCCCTCGATTTGCCCAAATGCATGTGACACCTAAAATATGATTTTAAAAAATGATATTAAATTGAGAGCAAAATACACTTAAATGAATTGTTATTTTTACATGTTTACGTAGCTTTGTTAAATATAATAAAGAAGTGCATAAATTTTGAGCCCAAGTCATGAAAAAAAATGTTGGCACACCTGTGTAAATTGTATCACATAAACTGCAAAAAAAAAAACAACTGACAATACTAAAATGTACAGTGTTTTACCATTATAATCTTTATTCTCAAAGGTTGCCATCGTAACTCATGTTTCTGCTCCATAGATTTTTAATAAAAGTATGTTTAAAGAGATACATGTAATTGTTAGGAACTAACTAAAAACTAACTTTGTATATAAAAATACGATCGACAATGGTCTGTTACTGTTCTTAATTTTGAATGTCAGATTGGTGAGTATGAATCCAATTCTGCGGGTCTTTGGCGACATAATGAAAACACAAAGACTGAGCCAAAATCATATTAATATTCATTCATACAAGGTTTGATAATTATTTTATGACATATTTTAATCTATTTTAGCTGTTTTTTACCTTAACTTCCCGTCGGTTGCCCTACGCTACGTAACATCAACAATAAAAACCAACAAGAAACCAAAGGGCCTTAACGGTCACCTGAGTATAATACAACACTGGAAAGGATCCATAGTATAGATGAAGCTGTTTTGTCCAAACGCAAGAGAAATTAGATGATCAAGGATAAACAAAATTATTAGTCTAGTAACACTCAGTAACAAATTATAAATTAGATCTATTTACTTGCCTGACGTGCCCCCATTTGTCACTATCACCATACAGACTACACTAAACAATGGTGCTTGAGCACTATAAGTGAACACGTCTCATTTTCTCTCATGACCTCTTTTGGTCTTGGAAGAACATTTACATGTATTGTACAAAGATACTAGGATATTTTGGTTTCACTTTTATTTAATACAGGGTGTTTCAGAAAACATGCAACCATTTTGATTGATTAAATTTTACTGGTGTTTCAACCAATACCATGCACCAACATATCAAATTAAAAGTTACAATCTCAAGATTTACTCTTACGAAAATAAAGTTAATATGGCAAATGGATAATGAATTACAAAAGAAAAAAGAAACTTGTAAAATTTCACTTAGTTACAAAATATGTTCTAAATGGCTTCATTTTTGCTGAATAAATCCGATGCAAGAAAGTTCTCATTACTATTGCAGAGTCTCTTGGTAATGAATCAGGCCTCAAGGCCATAAACTGAGAACAGACTTAAGTCAAAATTTTGATTTTAAATATCTTGAATTCTAATTAATTTGTGTGGATGAAACTTTGCAGGTGTTTATATTACAAAAATTCATACACATGGAGAAAAATTTATTTCATTACCAAAATTATTTTAAAAATTATATTGATATGAAATTTTGACTTAAGTTTGTTCTCATTTTTCGAACCATTTTGAGTTCATTTGTTTTTTGGGGGTGTATTTTTAAAACTTTGACCTTTAAATATCCCCACAGATAAAAGTCCAGGGGAGTTAAGTCAGGTGAGTGTGGAGACCCATTTTAACGGATCTGAAAGAGTTGAATGGTCCTCCAAACATCTGTTCTTACAAGTCCAAGGTTTAAGATTCAAAACATATTTCAGCATCTGATCTACATTTGACTTGCTCAATCTGTTCACAAACTCAGTTATTTTACAAAAGGATTTCATGTGAGTCTCTGGAACAATTCCTCTTTTGTAACATTCTAAATGTTTTCATGTATTCAAATTGTCTTTTCCTTCAATTTTTTTTTACTTCAAATTTCCTTGATCATGCATTAACTCTTCCATTAGCTGCAAAATTTTACAGATTTATACAACTTCCACTTTATATTACTATTAGTAAGTTCTTTGCATTCTGTAAACCTTATTTTCATTGTCCTAATCACAGGAACTGGTGAAATGCTCTGGTAAAGCAGTCTCGGAACTCTTGATGATTGCTTTTTATTGAATTCCACATTAAGGACCCTCTATACACTAGAGGAAAATATTTTTTTGGACATTGAGAAAATTATGGTGTGTAAAGGTATAAGTATTGAGCTTATCTATCAATTTCAGCTTAGGGTGCCTTGCATTTACCCCCAGGAAAAATGTTCAAAGACAATAAAGTACTGATGAGCATAAATCACTGTTGTTTACCTAAGTGGGCAAAATACCTGCAAATGAAGTGTTATATCTATTCATCTTGGCCTATTAAAGTGTTTTGAATGCTTGATTTGATCGCAAATCAAGTAATAAACTGTACATTTCAATTTATTTTATTCTTGATCAAAGGGCAGATCACTCTATCTGCATAAAAATACCACAAAATCAGAACTCTCTAGTGTGCAGTGTATAGAGGGTTCTTAAGAATGAAATTATCTGTTTCTTCCAGTGATGTCAAATATGACGTCATAATTAATTCAAGTGGTAATTTTGTCTAAATTTTTGCCTTTTTAGCATTATTTTATATAAAACATTCATAATTATGTTCCTGTTTGCATATAAATAAAGTGAGGAAAGTAAATGGTTGCATGTTTTCTGAAACACCCTGTATGTACTATTTATGTCTTGCTTAACGTCAAAATTATGAATGTACTTTATGTATTATATATTATAAAAATTCTTACATAATTCTCTTAAGCAAATGACCTTTCAACAAATGTTTGTGAAACACCTATCCCCCCCCCCCCCCAATTATTTGGAATTTTTCTAAGTCCAAGGGGCATAACTCTGTCAAAAATTGCTCGATCGTATTCAAAACAAAATTGACCTAGATATTCTTATGATAAATCTGTATACCAAATTTCATTTCAGTATGTGCAACCTCTGCGAAGAAAATGAACGGACATGCAAATAATTGGAATTTTTCTAAGTCCTAGGGGCATTACTCTGTCAAAAATTGCTCGATCGTACCCAAAACAGAACTTGACCTAGATATTCTTATGATAAATTTGTATACCAAATTTCATTTCAGTACGTGCAACCTCTGCGAAGAAAATGAACGGAAACTGGGTGGACCGACAGACAGACCGACCGACAGACAGCAGCAAAGCAATATGCCCTCTCTTCTTCGAAGGGGGGCATAATTACATTATTTACAGTGATTATGATAAGCAAAGGGGAGTAACTTCTCGCAATATAATAAAAATTAAAAGAGCCCTGGCCAGCACCAGGACACTCGACCAAACGGTTCTGAATTTCAAAACCTGGTGAAAATACCCTTGTTTACTACAACTTTTACTGTTTGTCTCCTTGATTCCCAGAAGCAGATAAGAAGACTTTCGAAGAATTAATGCATTTTTACTAGAGATTCAACAGAGCCCCGCCCTCATAACAGAACCCCTGATCCAGGGACCATTAAATTGATAATTTTAGAAGGGGCACACTTGCACATCATAACTATGCACCAGTTTTTCTGTAAAATACCCGACAGCATAGAAGATTTTCAAAGAATCGAGAATAGAGCCCAGCTCTAACATCAGAGCCTCTAACCCATGGGCCGAGAGATTCACAATTTTAGAAGAGGATCGCTTGCTCAACACAAATATGTACTAGGTTCGTTTGTCTATAATATCCAGGAACTGAGAAGATTTTCAAAGAATTGATCCATTTTTACTAATCAATAGAACTCTGTCTTAATACCAAAACCCTTGATCCAGGGTCCATGAAATTCATAATTTAGGAAGAGGCATCCATGCTCATTATAACTGTTCGTTTTGTTTGCTTAATACCCAGAAGCAGAGAAAAGGGTTTTCATAGAAATAATGCATTTTCACAATATAATCAATAGAGCCCCTATCCCATCCCATCCCCAGAGACCCTGACTTTGGAGCCATGAAATTCACAATTTAGGTAAAGACTCGATACTTATCACAATTATCCCAACAGTTTGACTGCTTGAGGAGTAAAAGATTGATTGATTAGTATGCTGTTTTACGTCCCATTCGAGAATTTTTTCACTCATATAGAGACGTCAACATATACCGGTGAAGGACTTAAAATTTAGAGCTATACTCGGCACTCAGGGCCATTGAGTAGTGAGGGTTCTTTATCGTGCTAACTTGACAAGGGACCTTGATTTTCAAGGTCTCATCAGAAAGACCTGTGACTTTTACTTCTAGTGCCGGGCGCTTGGCTATGGAACAGTCACTACTCGGTGAACAAGAATCGAACCAGGGCCTCCCGATCAAGAAGCGATCTCAAGGAGTAAAGATGAAGATTTTCACAGACAGCACTATATTTGTTATGATTTTAGCCCCGCCCCTCTGGCCCCAGGAGGACAGGGACCATGAAAATCATAATTGTTGTACCCCTTCATCTGTTGCTGCTCAGTGCCAAAATTGTTTGAAATTATTATGTGGTTCAAGAGAAGAAGCCGAAAAAGTTCCAAATTTTACGAACGACGCATGGCAACGGACGAAAACAGATAGCAATAGGTCACCTGAGTGATTCAGGTGACCTAAAAATTAAGTTTTGTTGATTACAATATAAAGGGTTATATTCGCCCCGTGTTATTTTCGCACTTTCAAACAATTTTGCCCCGTTTTAAATTCGCCCAGTCACAGTTCTAATTAAGAAATTATACATTTTTAATTAATTCGTCCATATGTGAGTAGGGCGAACGGGACGAAAATTTCCCTGCATACAGTATTACGAGGTATGCCTTTTTTTTTTTAATTTCTTTTAAAAAATGAAAATTTTACCTCGATCATCCACATTTACCTTGTATACTAATGTACATGTATTTGATTCCATGACATCACACCGTGTTGGAATACAAATGGTAAGAAATGAAAAGTTTATCTAGTATTTATTGACAAACCCAGGATAAAGGGATAAATATGTGATAGATATAAAATGAATATTTATTATAAATATTGTATTACAAAAAATTGTAAGGTTAATTGTAAAAGTTACCTAAACAGGTATGTGCCACTTCTGAAAGATGATCGCGCTCGTCATCAAAAAACATCATGTCAGGAAAAGCAATACCGCTGTCCTTTTTAATACTGAAATACAATTTTGTTCTAAAGATTAAAAAAATAGTTTTTTACATTTCCTAAATATGTAAACAGTTGAGAAGTGAGAAGATGTGAAGAATAATAGGAAATAAATTATTAACCCCCCCCCCCAAAGTCTAAACACAGATAAAACCCAGGAATTCTACTTCATATAAACAATCGGCTGTACATGATTTCACTGTCTAATTAAAGAATGAGTTCGGAAGACGTGTAAATTCTTACCAGACATTACAGATATTTGACATTAGAAATACCTGTATACTAACACTTCATGTGTAATTGAAGGATTGCACAATTTAATCTATACGTAATGAAAGTTTATGTAAGCTTGCCAGTATATTAACTGTGTTTTTCAATATTTGGTTTGTTTGAAAAGAAAATGCTTGGACCATAATTAAAATGAAGGGTCATAGCGATATTTAGGTGTTGTCTTTTTTTAAAAAATAATTTTCATGGTTAGAAAATGAAAAGTATTTGAATTGTGTATAACTGAAATTTCCATGTTCAAGTTATCGAAATGTTATTTATTTTATTTATTCCTGAAAGAAGATGGGCGAACAAGGCATGCAAAATGTCTATAACTTTAATGTATAAAAATGAAATTCATGTTATGAACTAAGTTTTCAAAGCAATTAAAGTTATTATTGAAGGGTATGAGATTATGACAAACAAAACTTTGTGCAGAAATATTCTCTCCGCAAAAATTATTCTATGGTAAAAAAAAAAAAAAGCTTAGGATTTCTTGGGATTTGAACCCCAGCAATAAAAATCCCGAGAAGCGGGTTTTTGTCTTAGATACTGACACGCTAAACACTATACAACATAGCTAATATCAAGTAAGAACATTTAATTCTTGTTATGACCGTTGAATAACTTGAAATATTTCTCATATTTTTAAGGTTGAGTGGGTCTCTTTGCTCCATGTTTTTGTTCAGCAAAAAATGTTTTATATTTAAACATTTGAATATACTAGCTGAAATCCCGCGCAAGCGCGGAGAATTGAATATATACCACTACCGACAGAAAATATATTGTAGTTTCTACTGACAGCCTACAGGCTTATAGCAGGAGGAAATACTTTGTTCAAAATCCCGCATGAAGTATATGTACGTCTCCACCCCGCCCCCTTTTGGTAAATACTTTAAATAAACTTGAATTATTACAATTTCATTAATTGACGTTTATTGTAAAACCTGTTATACTATGTTATACATGTACATATTGTACTTCAGATGCTCTTATTTCATATCCGTCAGGGATAAAAGCACAGCGAATATGCACGTTTTACAGATAAATTGATTGGGGGGGGGGGTAAAAAATGGGTCTTGGTTTATAAATATGTATGTACTTTATTGATATGTAAAAATTGTACTTTACTTTTTTTACATATCAATAAGGTACACACATATTTATAAACCAAGACCCAAGTACCTGTGTAAAAATTAGCTTTTAACGCCCTATGAATAGGCCGAGTTTTTGATACAAAAGACTATTCAGAAAAAAAAAACTGAAATGTATTGATAAAGCACAAAATTTTACAGCTTTAATTGTATTTGAACAATACCTTATTCATTAATTTTCTATTTTCATGTAAGCAATTTTAATACGAAGTACAAATTGTACTTCGGGTTCGTTACCATGATGCTTTCTGTGAGGAATATATACAGATTTTACCGATAAATTTATTAGGAAAACCTACTACATGAACATACTGTATATGTAATAGTCTTTCGATATATATAAATATATTCACAACTTATAGTGTTATCAATGATATACCATTATTTCAATGACCATTCACACAAGAGCTTTTTTTTATGTTCATGCAGGTAAAATCGCCTCTTTTTCTTTTAAACATCGGGTTCGACGCTATAGGATGTTCTAGAAGCTTCCGTCAATATTAAGATCGGTGAATTACGAAAATAATTTGCACATTTCCCCTTTTAATCGGTTATCACAACTTATTTCTTTTAAATCAATTAAATCAAATTTTGATTGAATAATTTAGTGATGACGTTTCATGAAATAAATATACGATTGCTTGTTGTCAGTCTCATTAAAAATTGCCAGTAACTTAGATCCGCCAAACCGTAAACGCCACCGTACTCACGTTTTTGCTATTTCATGGCTGTTTATAGAAAATGAAAGTGGACTTTTGATTTAATGTACGATACTTACTATGCGAATGAAATCTAAATATAGTTTACGGACATCATCTTGTATCTAGTGTATTCTTAGAGGACTATGTAAGAACTCTGGTGCACCCGTTTCGGAGTTTATTTGCAAAATTTATTAATTTATAAGTATAGATATTTAAAAAAAAACATTTAGCGAAAGCCCGCCTATATAGAAAAATTGTGTTATAGTGGAAGAAATGCTCATTTTTGTCCTCTTTGGTGTGTGCAAGTTATTTCAAAGACGAACGATTTAAATACTTGTAAATATGTTGCAAATTTCGGAGATTTCACTCAAAGTACATTCATGTTAACTGAAATATCAAAAAATTGTGTTATACGTAATTATTATCATAACATGGTTTGACAAATAAGAAAGTGAAAAACTAATTAACATTTAAAATTTCACTTTCTTATTTGTCGAACCATAGGCATTTTTCTTCGTTTATTCGCCCATCTTCATTAATTCTTTGCATTTTTTTATTTCACAATTAAAACAAAATACGATTTATAACTGCCAATGCATTAAGGACATATGCAACGTAGTTTGAACTTTATTGTCTTTTTCCCTGGAGTTGAAGAGTTCCAATACTTGAAGGAAATGTGTGCTACATTTTAATGTCTATATATGCTGTTGTACACTTCCTCTAAACTAAGTTTGGATAAACAATCATCTAGAATATATGTTTAGTAATTTTTGTATATTTTTCTTTGAATTATACAAGATTTTTCATCAACCGATACCTTTTCAAAACCCCTGGTAATACATGCTGATTTTTTGTCTACGAACATCTTATGGCACTATACTCTTAAATTAAGAATATTTTGAAAAATTATCAGTAGGTAATGTATGTTGCGTATGTCCTTAATAATAACTATTTCCTAGGATTTGAATATAGTAAAACAAAGAATATTTAACATTCCTTACTTTAGGAAATGTGTTATTTTGGATCCAGGGTAGATTTCTATGTAATCAAAGAATTTGTTCCATCCAAAGAAATTCACAAGGCGTTTCACCTCGTCTTTGTTGAAAGCTCTAAAAATAAACCAAAATTATGAGCAAAACTAAAACAATGCTTTAGATGGAAACGGGATGAGTGGGTAATGTTTTTTAAAAAATTCTTTTAAATATGTAGATCTTTTGAGTTGCATTGGAAATTTTAAAGTCATATAGTCCGTGATTGGATGAAACAGTTGAAAATTCTTGGAAGATCATACTTTGGGGTGTGAAACTGGTTTTAATTGTAGTTATACATGCATGTAATGAAAGACATCGGAGCATGAGATAAGCCGCCTATCCAAGAATTGTCAAGTGCCCTCTTGTCGAAATATACCAAAAATGATCATTTATTATTCATATTAACATTTTTGGCACAGAGTTTATATATCCCTCCCCTACATCAAACTTGATCCATATATATTTAGCTTAAGTTTATAGAAACTATCACTTAATTGGAAACATTTTCTCTGAACCCCTCCCACCCTCGGCGGCCTATATTTCTTTATAAGGTACATCTTCTGACTTCAAGACATCCAAATATTGACAGCAAGACATCCAAATATTGACAGAGAGAAAAAGTTTAGATTTCACACGAGATCCAAGGACGTCATGGAGGTATAACCTGGGATTTTTGTTGTACATGTACAGTTATTACAAAACATTAATCATCAAAGGTATAAAAGGCTAGTTACTACAGAAAAATGGAAAAAATAGAAATATAAGACAGAGTATGGATACTTTTGGTTGATTTCAAGCATTTTCGGCGGACTTTTTTATTTAAATTTAATCAAAGTTTTACCTGCAAAAAATGGGTCAGTCGTTCTTATGTAAAAGTTTAAACAGGAATAATAATTTCAGTTTGTAAGAGGTATAATCTTTTGTTCTGTTTTATGTTTGTGGTTATAGGCTGAAAACTGCCAATTTTGTGAGAACTGTTAGAGGGCCTTTCCCTTACAAATAAAATATTATTAATAAACTATAGTTTACAACAGTTAACAATAGTATTAAAGTTTTCACTATCCTAGTAAATTTTATAAAAATAATTGTAAATATTCTTTTTGTATTAAAAGCAAATATTACTTGTATGTCACATACAATTCCTAAATTTTAATTTATATCATTGGTGTGTAATTAAGGAGATATTATAGCCCTAAATTTCAATAAAAAGTTCGAGTAAAGTTTTTTTTTACCGGATATTTCTAGCTATTGGTCAATGTCATTCAGACAAAAAATAAAAATACCAAAGGGAACCTAGAAGGATTTCAAAATTGACTCAAGAATAAAGGGAAGGGATTTATCGAACGGAGCAGAAACCCAAAAGAATAATGAAAAAGATACCCAGTGTTGATGATTAAGAAAATTATGACAATGAGCGATAAAGAAAACAAAATTATTTTAGCTGTCATTATTTTGTGAAACATATTGAAGTAATCGATTAAAGGTAGTTATTTGTGTCGGTATCGTGTTTTAGGAGTTCAACTTACCTGTAGCCGTCCAATAAGTTTTCAAATACTGTCCATTATTTTCATAAATTCACATGACGTCATATCAATGTTTAACCCTTTTTATTGACTTAGTTTTATTTCAATTAAAATTTCTCTTTCACTGGGTAGGCCTTTCAACTGCCGCTAGGGTTCGATGTAAAGAACGATAACTTACTACCGGAAGTTGTTTACAGCAGATGCGAGAACTATTTTTTTTTAAGTATGTCAATTTCTAGCGTTTCCAAAGTACTCCTCACGTAGCTGTCAGCGGTGACTTATATTTCAACAATTCAGTAAAAATGGTAAACTACTTTTCCACCTACATACCAACATTAAACAATACTCTAAAGCGAAATTTTGAATAGAATTTTAAAGTGAAATCTATTTCTTTCTTAATTTTATTCAGATTAAACTTTTACACTTGTTTGTTTTTCTTCGTGCTTAATATAAAGAAAACGATAACTATTTAGTGCATTTAATTGTAGAAATATATATATATATATATATATATATATATATATATATATATATATATATATATATATATATATATCATTATAGAAGAAGCACAACAATGCACACACAAAACATATGACATGTTTTCTTCTGCGTAACAATCGTCAGAGTTATAAATCTTGAATATAGTCCGTTTCACATTCATTTTGACCATGTTACCCCAAAAAGAGTGAAGACAATCTCCTTGTTTTGGTCAACCCTTTTGTGTACACAACAAAACAAGAAACCCTTTTGTACTTAAGACAACAATGCCAGAATTGAGGCAGCCTATTTGTCCTTACTATACACGATAATTCATACAGTGATTTGTTGATGTTTTTTCACGCTTGTGTTACCTTTCCTTCAAACAGAAAATCATATTAATCAATGACTGATTATAATTTAATTTTTTGACGACTTAATTAAGTACGTGTATGGATTATACTGTATTTTGAGAATTTCATGTACCTATAAATCTAACTATCAAATGTTTTTACCGTTGGTGCAACTTGAAAAATTAGTTGAAGGCCAAACCAGATCTATATACCTTAGAGAAAAAAAAGTACGTTCTTATGAAAAAAAAATATACCTTCAGCGAGAAAAAAACTGTTCTTTTCACTTAGGGGGTGACTCTTATTCATTGTAGTAAAGATTAAAACATAAGAACCCGTATTATGGGGGGGGGGGGGGAGAGAGAGAATGAAGATTTGCTTGAAAATGTGGCTTTTAAAATTGGATTTTCGAACGCATTTTTATGAGAAAAAATAATCCCTATATCCTTGAAGTGCATGCACTGTCTTTCAGGAACTCGGTTATTTGGTTAAATATTTAGAAGCTGCTGCAAATTGTAAATGCTTTAAGACATATTTAAGTATTTTCCTCCTAACTACAGAGAATAAAAGCGCATCTCTGTTTCGCATCCAACTTCTTTCTCTACCTGTTTCTGAGTCATTTTCTGCACAAACATATGCGAGTTCATCAATCACGGGAAAATCATCATCGACATTCATTACAGTGACTGCATGTTTCAACTTTTCTTTAAACAGTCACAATTTGTTTAAATGCTACGTCATAACATTTGCCATTTATTTAAAAGAACAAATTATACATTTGGCAATCTTAGTATTATATAATTCAAGTGTCTTTTGTTTAAAATAAAGAGTGTACGGTGTACTTTTAGATTTTTATGTCGTGACTACAAGGGGCATCTCTCTAAGCACAAATAAAGCATGTCTCAAAAGCCGCATCCATAACTTAACTGAGATGTAAACACTTCAACAGTTGTCCTATTGCCTCACTGATACAATATGCTCAAGCAACCTTGTGTAATAAAACTTAATGGCAATGGAATGGCTCGTTCAAAAATGAAGATGTTATGCAATTTTGCGGATTTTTTTATGAGACTCACTTGACAAATGTTTAGAGAGAAGATGTTTCCAGAAGAATGCTGGTCATTTAACTTACTCTGAAGCTACAGCAAGTTTGTAACCCTCATTATGAAGTCTGTGTAAAATTGGATCAATGTCTGGGAATGCTTTTACCTCTCGACTGCAGGCGTCAAATACTTTACCATCTCTGAAACAACATGACACTTTACAAATGAACTGTATCAGATATTGCAATTATTCGATTTTTGTAAGAAAACAATTCAAAGAGCTCATACTTTGAAACAAGTATAGAAATTGCGAAAAAAAATATTTAACTGCATGAACAGTATATATCAATATAATATCCCCTGTAAAGCAGCAGAGCAACACTCCGGTAGTCTTTATGGATGTCGGAATGCGCATTTTTAAAACTGCCAAGGACATGCAGTGTGGTTTGGAACCATTGAAAGGTAAATTTGTATAATATAACAGATAATAACTGAAGTGAGCTATATAAAAGAGTCGTTGTAAACCAAAGGTTTTTACAATGCTTGGATCTGTAGCTCTCTGGTTTGTCTGTAAGAATTTTCTCTACCTGAGAGCTACAGTTCTGCAGCTAACATTGTTCTCTGACCTTCCTTTCAAAACTAGAATAAATGCAAGTATTGAATTAGATTTATTTCCAAAAGTCATACCCTAAAAGTAAAATTTGTTGTTGCTGAAGAACTATGTCATGTTCTTGATTGGAACACCGAAACTCTAAATAAATCAACAAAATTATTTTTTTTAAATATATTGAACTTTCTGTCAAAGACATGAACGAATAGTGACGTCGTCGTTGAAGACCTATGGCGCAGTGACCATAGTCTCGAATTAAGTTAGTTTGATCTTGTTTGTAACAAGAAAATTTCAGCCCTAACTGTGGTGCCTGTTAGTGAAATTTCAGGATCTGTGTAATTGTGTTCACTACTTTTGTATCAGAATTAACAAGGCTAATTTATACAAAGGATTTGAGTGTAAGAGCTTTATAAAACTCCTTACCTCGTTCTATTAAAAGGGGGCTCCACATTAACTTTTCTATCCACCCAGAAAGGCCACAATGTGTAGTCTGAAATAAAAATCAGACAATGCAAGCTAGACGGAATACAATTATGTAAATTGGCTATGAAATACAGTACTTTATATCAATTAACACACAATGAAGATTGATTGTAAGAACTCCAGAATAATTTGTTTTCTTTTACTGCACCTGCTGAAGATTACAAACAAACAAGAATACAATACAGACATGTAAATTGTTTCCTGACATAATTCTTCTTAATCATTTTGCAAAGAAATATGCCGTGCAGTAGATATTAATAATTTCAAGATAAGCAAGTAGGACATAAGAATTTGTAAAGTGTGTTGACCCGCTGTCAGAGTATTCCAACATGCTGCAATTCGCCCACACCTACAGCCGCCGTCATCGTCTGCTAATTCGTAGCTTTCTGGTAGCGATCACTTATACCAGTAGCTTGTACTGGAAGCTCATTATGCCACACGCCTAATAGCATGTTTGTCTTTAACTTCTCATTGTCCAGATAAATATTTTGCACCAATTAACATTAAACCATTTTACTTTAAAAGATCTCGTAAAAAATAGTGTGCATGATTTAGACATGCATTACAAAGATGCTTCTTTTTTTTGGAGTGCTTGTGTCTGTGTATATTGTTATCCATAAGACTTCCCAAGTTTTTTTTTAAATTCTCGAAAACAAAGATTGCTTGAACCCTTACACGGTGATTTAATACTGGTTCAGTCAAGAAAAATTCTTAACTGCAAATCGAACTTAATCATGATTTATGCTCGTGTACTTGAATTATAAATACCAAAATGCTGTAAAACTATAGTTCTATTTCGAACTATTGTGCATTACTACAAGTACAGATAATTCTATAATGCTAATATTTCAAAGTGATAAACAACTCGTTAAACAGTTTCCCACAAGCCACCAGGAGATCATTGCATTGTTTACACAACACAGTGTGGTACTGCCGTTAACCACCGGTATCGGAGGGAGCAGGACTTGAATGTGAAGTACTTAATAAAAAAGCTTCGCTAACACATTTATGCCACAGTAAGTCACGTGAATTCACGTACAAATGACTGTAACGGTATGACGATACTACATTGTCAAAATCGAAACGAGCCAGACAATAAGGTGGCATAAAATTGGACGGCGATGGGCACATCTGTATGACGAGGAGACGCAACGTTTTATGCTGCATTCGTAAACGTTTTTTGTCATAAAAATATGATGGTCTCAATTTTCAAGACAACGAACAAATTACTAGCATATGCTTACTTTGTCACGGTACCAAACTATTCAACCTATGTCTGTGGAGTAAAAAAAAAAAACAAGTACTTTGTACAAACAAAACAAAAACTATACCAAACACTTATTTTAAGTTCACAATTTAAGTTTTGCCAAAGGTCAAGATGTCCAAAATTTTATTTTTAAAATAGCTCCAAAACTATGTGAGGTATAAAGTTAAAACTTTTACATTTTATAAATATATTATTGATTAACAGATAGAAAGTATCACTTGAAAACAAATATTTAAAAATATATATATTTTTTGAGAAAAAAAATTCAAAAAAATTGCATATTTAAAAAAAAACGCACCTGCTTAATTCAGTACTTTAAGTGAAAACAATCATTGCAGAAATAATATATTTTTTTCAATGAAGGGCAAGTTGGACGTGAATGATCTCTGAAAGGCTGTTATTGAAAGCATGACATGTATAAAGACAAGACCCCTATAAAATCCGCCATTTGCAATGTACTTTAGGTTTCAAATCTTAACATTTGGACCAAAACAAAAAACAAAAAAAAAAACAACAAACAAAAAAAAAAAACAAAAAAACAAAAAAAAAAAAAAAAACAGGGAAAACAACTTTCCAGAGGCTATCGAAGTCCAACTTGTCCTTCATTGATAAACATATATTATTTCTGCAATGATGGCTTTCACTATAAGTACTATTTAATTAGGTGTATTTTTTGAAAATATATGCATTTTTTAAAAAGAATTTTTCTCGATAAATATTTTCTTAAGTATTTGTTATCAAGTGATACTTTCTATCTGTTAATCGATGATATATTTATAAACTGTAAAAGTTTTAACTTTATAAACCACACAGTTTTGGAGCTATTGTAAAAATAAAATTTTGGACATGTTGACCTTTCGCAAAACCTTAATATTGGTGAACTAGATTTCTAGTTTTCGTATTATCATACACGTATACACAAAGTAAGAAGGGAAAACAAGAGGCCAATCCTCAGTGATTTTCTTTTAAAAAATCACAAAACTATAGGAATCATATTAATTTAACTAACAATATGTGTTTGTGAAACACTATGCCCCCGATGCTAACACAATTCTGGAGTGGGACGTAGACTACAGTGCAATAGTTATGGCCAATGTTAGTTTTTCAAATGTAGGTCAAAGGTCACAGTTGATGTCACATGATCAAAACTTTATGTACCAATGGAAAGGTCTTGTCATCATGAACACTCATGTCAAATATTAAAGCCTTACCCTTGACAGAGCAATAGTTATGGGCTAGGTTAAAGTTGACAACAGACAGACAAACAGACAGACAGGAAAAAAACAATATACCCCCTGGATCTTTCGATCCCGGGGCATAAAAATATATCAACCTAATAATAAGTGAATAATATGTTTACTAAACAAATTATAATAAAAGTTTAGAGTAAATGAAGAGGTGCTTTTAAACTGCATGTATGTGGAGATGTAATATTTATTTGATTCAAATGAGTATTCAAAATTACATTATATTCTTTCTTGCAGTGTTTTACAAGGTGCTTTACTTTGGTATGATAACCTGACGAATTCTTACGTGTTGTTATCACTCGTCAAGAGACTTCAGTTTGGTTTTCTACATCGCTGTTGTACATGGCTTTTCATCGTACAAAAGTATTATTGCAGAGCACTTTGTTTATATTCAAAATGCTACCATACAACTTTTAACATCGTTTTTTTAAGGAATCACAATTAGGCATTCCAAGTAAATGAACAAAGACTGCTAACATGGATTTAAGTAATTCAATTACCATCCATTTCCCTTTTAGACACATTAACATCAAGGCGAATCTTTGATGGCGTTTAAAATCTCAAGACAAAATGCATTCTCAGAAAATTTTCTTTGAACTAAACCTTTGTTTCATAGATATCAAGGTTAAAGCCTCTATATTTAACTTCACACTTCTAGGAAGTTATTTTGGATATCGGGGTGACCTACAAGTCTAGATGTCCGTAAAGACCTAGATGTTAAAAAGCAACAAACTCTCATCTGAATCACGATAAACGGTAAGCAAACGTCCTAACAGGAAATGATAATTACACTTTATCTGATAACAAATGAACTTAAAGTGTTCCTATCAATAGAAATTTAACTAATTACGGTGGGTGATTTTTATTCGATTCAGATAAATATGTTTTCATTTCTTAGATATTATCATATCGTATCTCCCTTCTATCTAAGATTCTTTCAAAGACACGAAAAATGGGGTATATTTGTTTGAGTTTTGAAAATAACTCTTAAACTGTAAATAAACCAGTCATCTCATACTACACATACTCGGTAACAAAACTAAACAATTCAAGAACAAAACAATTAAAACTTTCTTCTTATATCCGTTATGTTGTAGATTTATGACTATAATACTATGTTGAATAAAATCTACCTTTGTCTCTTTTATACCTGATAAAATGTCATTAAATTACTTACTTATGTCTAAAAACAACCTTTTTGTCGAGTATGTGCCTGCAAAATTAACGCAACAGTTTTTATTTTATTAAGCAATGGCTTGAAAAATATTTTTTTAGATGTGTAGCACCATTTCGAAAAGGCATCATACGATTCAGTCAGCTTAGTCATTTAGGTGACCTATTGCTGTCTGTTTTCGTCTATCCTCCTGCGTTAGCATTATTTCAGTTTCTTCTCTGGAATCGCTGAAAGAATTTCATTTCATTTTGGCAAATAGCATGTATAAGTGAAGGGGATAAGAACATTTTCATAGTCCCTGCTGCCCTTTCCCTTCCATGACCTGAGGAATGGGGTAAAACCATCAAAATGAACGCAATCTTCAAAAAACTCTCTACTCCTGGTCATCAAGCATACAAACTGTTCGCATGACTGTAATTAGCATTCAGCCCTCTACCAAAAAATATGAAATTCATAGCCCAAGGTTTAGGAGGTCAGGTGTCAAGGTGGAGCTCTATACATCATATGGTGAAATATCTCCTCTCCCCTGTATATTAAACAGACAAACTAAGTGCATAGATATGATGACCAAGCGTGCCTCCTCTGAAACTGTGAAATTGGCGGCCCCTTTGTCAGGGGTTCTGGTGTTAGAACAGGGCTTTATTGGTCATATGGTGAAAATGCATTAATTCTCTAAAAATGTCTTTTCCTGTGTATTTAAGCAAAGTGCATGATTATAATGAGTAAAGGTGCTGCTTCCAAAAGTGGGGAATTCCTTGCCTCAGATCAGGGGTTTAGGAGTTGGGCGGGCTCTGAATATAGAGAAAATTCTTTCAAAATGTTCTTTATTCCTAGGATTTAACAATGTGCATGGTTATAATAAGCAAGATTGCTTCTTCCAAAATTGTGAAATTCATGGCCCCTGGCTCAGAGGTTCAGGTGAAAGAGCGGGTCTCTATTAATCATATAATGAAATACATTAATCTTTTAAAATAATCTCTGATTCTGAGTATTTAATAGACAAACTAAGTGCATAGTTATGTCGAGAAAGGGTTCTTCTAAAAGTGTGTAATTCATGGCCCCTGCGTCAGGGGTTCCAGAATTATGTCAGAGTTCTCTTATCACTTTTTGGAATATTTACACTTAAAATAATTTATCATGCAATGTGAATAATGTAACTGATGGGTAAATTAAATAAAAGAATTTTTTTTTTAAATTTTAATTTTAAATTTTTTTTAAAATTTTTAAATTGTCAGGTGGCTTTGCAAAGAAACGATAAAAGCAGAAGTCTATGACGAGACTGTAGCTCTATTGGTGTGTACTTATAATAAAGAAAGATA